CCCGTCGGACTCGTCTTTGCTGCCACCAGACGCCCCTGCTTCCAGGTCGTAGAACTGCGCCCGAGGTCTTGGCGGCGGTCGGGCAGCCCTGGGCATGTAGTAGGAGCAGGCGAGGATCCAGTGGGGCGACGAGTGGCCGTCTGGACCAGTAATCATTTGGAACGCAACTCTGTACAGCAGCGGCGCGCCAACGTTGCCGAATTCGATGACAGGGATGCGCGCGCCACCGCCGACGGTCGGCGCAGCGTGCACAACACGACCGTTCACGGACTTGGCGTAGATCTCCAGCGCCTCCGCGTCGACGACGTCGTCGGCCGCCTCATAGTTCTGCTTCCGCAGGTAGCCCACTGGGTCGTCGAGCTCGATGCGCCCCTGGAGGACCCTGGCGTAGAAGGGGAGCTCGTCTTCGCCAGGGTACCCTGCGTCCCCCGCCAACCGCAGGCGCGCTGCCTTCTGGTGCAGGCCGTCGTCCTCCATGGCGCCAATGATCCTGTCCACGAGCGCCTTGGCCTTCTCGCGCTCGCTCGCCTCCCTGTCGGGGTCATCGTGGATGAAGCCGTTGGCGTCCCTCTGACGCATCCACGCCCGCGTGTCGCGGGCGGCGAGCGCGCAGTAGGAGAGGCACCTCCCGTCCGGCGGCACGGGCACGTTCAGGTCTGGCTGCCGAGGCGGGGCAACGGCGGCGGCTGCATCGGCCTCGTCCATAGCTGCCGCGGGTCGCTTCCGCGCGGTGCCAGATGCCGCCGCGCGCCTCTTCTGCGCCCCTCTGCCCTTGCCCGCGGGGTGGCCTTGGTCGATCATGTACCTCTCGTAGTCGGCCTTCTTGTACCTCCCGTCAGGATCCCAGCCGTCCGGGACTGCCCGGTAAGTCGCCGTGCCTTCCTGGCCTTCGATCATGAGGTACCTGATAGTGGAGCGGAACAGCGTGACGTCCTTCACGATCATTGCCCACGTCTTCGCGTAAGGCAGATGAACTTTCTCGGCAGGCCACCTGTGCCTCGGGCGCAGCTCGTTCCACTCGGCGTCGCTCATGATCTGGAAGGGGTCCTCGCCGAGCGTCACGCTGCCCCAGATCTGGCCCTTCTCGCCCACGAGCCGCTTCCCGATGTAGCGCTGGTGCCGAATCTCCAGCGTCTTCGCGCCCTCCAGCATCATATCGAACCTCAGAGGAGGGCCGTTCGAGACACCGAAGTTTGCCCTCGGGGTCACCCACTATCGCCACGGCTGAACACTCGGAAAAAAAAATTGTGCTGGTGTGAACCTGGGAGAGGTCCAGGGACCGCTTTACAACCCCCAGTATCTCTTACCGCCCTATTCCGCGAACCATTTCCTGTGGAGCACGAGGATCGGGTCCCCCACGTTCGCCGAAGGTTCCACAATCACGTGAGACGCAGAAGTCGTCGTCGAGATCGACGTCGATGTCGTCGTCGTCGTCGTCGTAGTCCGAAAGGTCCTCAAGAATGGCGCTGCCGTAGAACTCGGGGGCGGCAGGAGGAGGCTGGGCGTCGAGGTCACCGTGGCGGCCGCTGTAGTGGCCACAGCCACGAGGGAGTCGTCCATGTAGTTGTCGTTCTCGTAGATGTAGTTGCTCTGCCCGTTGTCCGTGTCGCTGTGCTCCACTTCGACGAGAAGGCGTGCGCGCCCGCGCTGGCTGCCGGTCGGCGATGCCATGCTGCGGGTGGCTCTCATCTCCAGGCGGAAGGAGAAGAACACCGTGCTCGCGACGCAGTAGAGGCCGAGGCCGATGGCGATGGCGCGGCCGAGCTTGCTCGACTGCGCGGCCATTGTCCCGAGGTAAAGGCTGAGAGTTTAGAAGCACTCCTGGGCTCGCGCAAAGGGACAGAGGTGTCCGCGGGGATGCACTTCGAGACACTTGACTCAGCCGACGGCTACGGAAGGGAGAGGGCGCAGGTTCGGAGGTGGCGCAGGGTTCGAGTGGCCCAGAGCGGGCCATTGAATATCCGCAAGCGAGGACCCTACACGCATGAGGGTCTCAGGGGTGGGAGGGGTAGATACATACAGGCCTGGAGAGTTGCGCTCGGACGGCCCCTTGGGTAAGAGCAGGCGGGGTGTGCCCCTCTGTCGAGATTTTATATGATTGCCCCCCTGCGGCGTGCAATCTGAGTGGGCAGGGCAGAGGCGGAGGGCCCGAGGGCGGGATGCAGGCAGGGCGCCCAGAGGATCTGAGGGTTGTGTGGGGTGTAGGAGCGCCCAGGAGCTCCCAGGCGCTCCCGCAGAGTCTCGGGGCACAGGAGGGTCATAGGGTTGGGAGGGGTAGATGCGCCCAAACCTGGAGGGTGGCGCTCAGATGGTCCCCAGGGCCAGAGCACGTTGGGTGTTCCGCATGCGCCCAGCCTCTGAAACTCGCCTTGGGCGCCACGCGCCTCCGCGGGTGCGCTGTGAACCCCTTGAGACAACCAGATGATCCCGACGATGCGACGATGTTTTTTCAAGGGTGGGCCATGTGCGCGCTGTGCACCGCGCGAGCCCAGAGGGTGGCTGGCCGCGCCGACCGAAGGGCGCGCTGGCGGTGCTCCAACATGGCAGGAGTTGCTGGCCGCTCCGACCGGAGGCTGCGCAGGCGACGCTCACTTCTTGGCATCGAGCGACTTGGCCTTGGGCGCGGCCGCCACGGACGCCGCGGGAGCTGCCGCCTGTGCGCCGCCAGCCACGCTCGCCGAGCCAGCCGCGGGTGCTTGTTGCGACTTGAACCAGGCCTCGGCCTGCGTCCCGACAGTCTTGAGGGCGGTCAGCGGCTCTTTGGACACCGCGTTCTTGGGCACGGCGTCCATCCCGCGGAGCTCCAGGTAGAAATTCTCCACGCCAGCGAACTCCCGCACACCCTGCGGCACGCTGCCGAAGAGGTCCTTCAGGTCCTGCAGGTTCGGGTTGTCCGAGAGGTGCGCTTCAGCCTTGGCGGCGACCTCCTGCGCCTTCGAGGCGGTCCACTGCGTGAAAGCAATCTCCTTTTCCGACGGTGCCTTGGAGTCCTTGGAGTCCTTCTTCTTTTTCTTCTTCTTCCTTTCCTGCGTCGACGAGGAGCTCGCGCTCGAGCTCGACCTCTTCTTCTTGGACTTCTTCTTGCGCTTCTTGTCCTTATTCTTCTTCTCGCTGTCGGAGGAGTCGTCGCCGGCGCCCTTCTTCGCGCCGCCCTTGCCGCCGCCCTTCCTGCGCGGGCCCTCAGAGTCCTCGTCGTCGCCAGCGCCCGATCGGCGCGCGCTCCCCGCCTGCCGGAGGACGTCGGCCGCCGAGTTCTGCTCCCCCGCCGCGTAGCTGTCCAGCTTCTCGCGCGCCTCGTGCATCATCACGGCGAGGGCTTCGAACATCACCTCCTCGTCCCGCGGGTCCTGAAACCAGGCATGCACCTTCTTGTTATCCGACGTCGCCCGCGGCACCGCGTCCGCCCACTCCGACGGCTTCTTCGCCATGGCGTGCACCTGGAGAAGCTGGAGGGCGCAGACGTACAGGCGCGCCCCGACAACGGCGACAGAGCGCGCCGCCGCCACGGCGCCCTCGCCCTCTGGAGATTTCAGCGCCTCGAACAGCTCCCAGAGCTTCGTGGCGGTCTTCTCCTTAGAGCGCTCCGCATCCTCCATGTTGAAGTTCAGGGCGGTGAGCGCGTCCTGCACGGCCCCGCCCTTCAGGAAGTCGACGATGGGGTCCGCCTGCAAGCCGTCGGCCTGAATCGCTTCGACCATTTCGAGCAAACACTGCATGGAGCCCGCGGCCTCGCTCAGTCCAATGCCCGGGCGGCGCTTCATGTGGCAGTTCGAGGCGTCCATCTTCGCGCGGAGCGCCTTGGGCTCGAGGAGCTGGATGTCGCTCATCCTCTTCTGCGCCTTGTCGCGGCCGAAGCACGTGCCCCTGTCGCCTGCAGAGCCGCGGAGGAGACCCGCTGGCAGCTGCCACCGGTTCAGGATCCGCGTCGTCTTCTCCCCGACGTCACCCCCGGCATCGCCCCAGCCGCCGTCGCCCTCCCAGGCGTCCCAGCCGCCGTCGCCCCACCAGGCCTCCTCACCCTTGCCCTTGCCGCCTGAGGACTTTCCGCCCTTGCCCTTGCCTCCGCCGCCCCATCCGCCTCCGCCGCCGCCCGCGCCCCACTTGCCACCAGCCCAGGCGCCGCCGCCGCCAGCCCAGGCACCGCCGCCGCCGCCCCATCCACTCTTGCCGCCCTGCTTGCCCCAGTGGGCCATGGCGCTTGTCGCCGGAAGCGAGGCGGATGGCAAAGCTCGGAGCTGCGTCTTGTGCCGAGGTGTGCTACGGAATACCAGAAGGGGGCGAACGCTCGTATAATGATCAGACGGATACTCTTCCGACATGACTCTACCGCCAGCTCTCCCGCCGCTGCCTCGCGCCGTTCTGACAGAGGCCCAGAGCTCCTGTCGCTTCGCCGACCTTCCGCCGCGGCCTCCGGGAGCCTTCCGCCAATGTTTCCGCGCCTTGTCTTGCCCCCTATCACCCCCTCTCAGGGCGCTGACGGTGATCTCTCGAGACTCCTGGGGTGGAGGGCTCCAGGGGAGCAGTCTTTTTGCAGTTAACCATGGGAGTGACAAAGAACACCGAACAGGTCGATTCCCAACATGGCCCTGGGATGGGACGAAGCTCTCCTAGAGAGCCGTGGGCTCTTAGGCAATGGCCCATTCACCGTGGGGTTCGTGGTCGCGCGAACTCCGTCCTTCGCGAAACGCAGCGACGCGACCCAACGAGTCGGGTCGAGGTTGCGTCGCTACGCTTCCCCAGGGGCCGCCGCGTGGAGGCGGACGGAGATGGCCCCCTAGGTTTCCGCGCAGCTCTTGCCGACCCCTCCCGCGCGTTGCTGCAAAGCCTCGGGGCCCACAGCGACAGCGCGAAGGGTCGGCTCAAGCCGCGCGGAAGCCCCCCCCGCTGGCGAACTTCCAGACCAGACGGAGGCTCGACAGCGCAGGTCGTCGTTGCGTCGTCGTTGGCGGCGGCTGCCAGCAGCTGCGGCGGTGTTTTTGTGGGCGCCGCCCACAGCTGTGCCGCGGTGCCGCCGGGCTTTGCCGTCGCTCAGCTGCTCAGGTAGCTGGCGTCCTCCTCGAGGGCGCCGAAATCCACTAATGCTCATTGCGCCCGAGGCAGACGCAACCTGAACCCAGCAGCGGCGCAGGCGCCGCGCCGAACTGGCTCGGCCAGGAAGGCGCGCCCGCGGCGCCTGGGCCCAGGGAAAGCGCGGCCCAGGGACATGAATCAGTAGTTTTCGTGGCCCGATCCTCAGCAGCACGCCGCGGGCGCCCCCAGGAGTTCCAGGACGAGCGACTCCGCGGGCCGCGGCAGGCGCGCCGCTGCAAGCCGCGCCGTGGCGCGCCACGTGGAGGCCCGAGCCGCGTCCTGCTGCCGGTAGCGGGCCATCTCCTGGTGAGGATTGGGACCCGCCCAGTGACGCCAGTGCGCTGGGTCCGCGGCCCTGGGGTCCGTGCGGACGCTGCCGCCGATGTGGCACGATGGCAGGCCCGTGGTGAAGGACCACCACATGCCTGGCGCGCCAGCGCCGTCCTGCAGCGGGCGGAACGCAACCCGAACCAACGCACTCTGGCAATAGATCAAAGCCCGCAAGGCCCTCCTCAGGATGCCCGGACAACGTCGGCTCAAAGAATCTGAAACACCATCGGCGGCGAAACTCCGGCGTGCGTTTTTCATCGGGTTGCGTTCGATTCCCCCATGAAACCTCGCCGGGCCAGCGGTTCGCCTCGTCCGCGTAATGGACCCACGGGAGCTCCTCGAGGTAGATCCACCAGGAGGAGCCCCAGCGCCAGATCCACGCGCCCTCCTCTGCACTCCAGTGCCAGTGCCCGTCGCGCTCGCCACCGCCGCCGCGCCACAGCCAGATGCCAACGGCGACGGCGACAACGCAGGGCCACATGGCACGCGAGCGGGCGCGGAGTAAGCTGTGAGCGAGGATCTCAGCAAAAATGCTTGAACCAGAAAGCTCTGGAATGATGCTCCCAGGCGCTCCCAGGCGCGGGGTTCAAGAGGGGTTCTTGGGGGCGCCTAGGAAGCGATGGAACCCTTGGGGGAGCTTGAGGGCTCCTGGAGAGCTCCTGGGGTGTCCTGGAGGGATCCGAGCCACCTCCTGGGGAGCTGGGATGCTCCTGAGGGTTGCCCGCAGGCACCTCCTATGAGCTTCCCAAGCACTCCCAGGCGCCCAAAAGCGCCCCAGAAGCGCTCCGAGGCGCTCCCAGGCGCTCCCAGGCGCTCCCAGGCGAACCCAGGCGCCCCCAGGCGCTCCCAAGCGTCCCCAAGCGCTAGAGAAGCGTTTCCAAGCGCTCCCAAGCCTTCCAGCAGCGCTCCCAGGCGCTCCCAGGCGCGCCCCAGGCGCGCTGAAGGCTCCTGGGGAGCTCTGGAGAGCTCCTGGGGAGCTCCTGGGGGCTGGGGTGCTCCTGGTAGGCTTCTTCTCGCAAGCACCTCCACTGAGCCTTCCCCGGTGCTCCCCAGCCTGTAAGAGCTTCCTAGACCACCCGCGTTGTCCTATTCCCTTGGGTTTCGGGCTCCAGGCGGCCCAGAGATGAGTTTGCGACCCCCGCCCCTTGCTGTTGTCGGTGTTGCCTCGGACGGGCCGGTGCTGCGCAAACGGGTTTGCGCGGGAGCTACCCGCCCGTCGCGCGGGGTCGACCCGCAAAAACTGCACGACAGAGCGCGCGCACGCAAAACACCTTCGGCGACACACGCGCTCCGTACTTAGGCGCGCCGGCGGTCTGCTCCCAGGCCATCCCAGGCGCTCCCAAGCGCTCCCAGGCGCTCCCAGGCGCTCCCAGGCGTCCCCGCTCCCAGCGCTCCAGAAGCGTCCCAGGCGCTCCCAAGCGTTCCAGAGCGCTCCAAGGCGCTCCCAGGCCCTCCCATGGCGCTGAAGGCTCCTGGGGAGCTCTGGAGAGCTCCTGGGGAGCTCCTGGGGGCTGGGGTGCTCCTGGTCGGCTTCTTCTCGCAAGCACCTCCACTGAGCCTTCCCAAGTGCTCCCCAGCCTGTAAGAGCTTCCTAGACCACCCGCGTTGTCCTTACGACATAAATTCCATATAATAATAATAAAAAAATAACGGATATTATTTTATGATGCATGAAAAAATCACTCAATGTTAAATTCCCTTGGGTTTTTTTTTTTTTTTTTTTTTTTTTTAAGGGCCCCAAGCGGCCCAGGGATGAGTTTGCGACCCCCGCCCCTTGCTGTTGTTGCTGTTGCCTCGGACGGGCCGGTGCTGCGCAAACGGGTTTGCGCGGGAGCTACCCGTCGCGCGGGGTCGACCCGCAAAAACTGCCACGACAGAGCGCGCGCACGCAAAACACCTTCGGCGACACACGCGCTCCGTACTTAGGCGCGCCGGCGGTCTGCTCCCAGGCCATCCCAGGCGCCCCCAAGCGTTTCCACGCGCTCGCAAGCGCTCCCAGGCGCTCCCAGGCGCTCCCAGGCGCTCCCAGGCGCTCCCAGGCGCTCCAGAAGCGCTCCGAGGCGCTCCCAGGCGCTCCCAGGCGATCCCAGGCGCTCCCAGGTCCTGGGGAGCTCTGGAGAGCTCCTGGGGAGCTCCTGGGGGCTGCGGTGCTCCTGGTAGGCTTCTTCTCGCAAGCACCTCCACTGAGCCTTCCCGGGTGCTCCCCAGCCTGTAAGAGCTTCCTAGACCACCCGCGTTGTCCTATTCCCTTGGGTTTCGGGCTCCAGGCGGCCCAGAGATGAGTTTGCGACCCCCGCCCCTTGCTGTTGTCGGTGGTGCCTCGGGCGGGCCGGTGCTGCGCAAACGGGTTTGCGCGGGAGCTAACCCGTTTTTTCGCGAGGGGTCACAGCCAAAAACACGCCACAACAGGAGCGCGCGCACGCAAAACCCTTCGGCGACACACGCGCTCCGTTAACTTAGGCGGCGCGGCGGTTGCTCCCAGGCGATCCAGGGCGCTCCACAGCGTTTCACGCGTTCGCAAATCGCCCCAGCGTCCCAAGCGCTCCCAGGCGACTCCCCAAGCGCATCGCCAACAAGATTCCGAGGCGATTCCCAGGCGCTCCCAGGCGCTCCCAAGCGATCCCACGCCGCTTCCCCGGCGACATACAAAGCAGTTTTCCAAGCGCTCCCATGCGGCTCCCGCAGGGACTCCCGAGTGCCTTTCCGGGCGCTCCCAGGTGCGGACTGGGCGGCCCTTCCCAGGCGCTCCCGCAGGGACCTCCCGAGTGCCTTCCCGCGCGCTCCCGCGAAACCTCCGGGGTGCCTTCCCGGGCGCTCCCGCACGCACCTCCAGAGCGCGTTCCCGGGCGCTCCCGCAAGCACCTCCAGAGCGCGTTCCCGGGCGCTCCCGCAGGGACCTCCCGAGTGCCTTCCCGGGCGCTCCCGAAGGGACCTCCCGAGTGCCTTCCCGGGCGCTCCCGCAGGGACCTCCGGAGTGCCTTCCCGGGCGCTCCCGCATAGACCTCCGGAGTGCCTTCCCGGGCGCTCCCGCAGGGACCTCCGGAGTGCCTTCCCGGGCCCGGGCGCTCCCGCAGGGACCTCCCGAGTGCCTTCCCGGGCGCTCCCGCAGGGACCTCCCGAGTGCCTTCCCAGGCGCTCCCGCAGGGACCTCCCGAGTGCCTTCCTGGGCGCTCCTGCAGGGACCTCCCGCGCGGGTTCCTGAAGCGGTTCCTGGGCGGTGCTTAATTCACCGTGACGCTGGTCTGGGGTGGCTCCTGGGGGGCTCCTAGGGAACTCCTGGGGGGCTCCTGAGGGCTCCTGGAGCGCTCCTAGCGGGTCACTAAGGGTTCTTGGGCGGTGCCCACTTCACCGTGACGTGGTTCAGGTGCGCCCTGGGCCCTGGGCGGCTTAAATTCACCGTGATGTGCGCCTGGGGTGCCTTGGGAGGGCCCTGGGAGGGCCCTGGGGAGGGGTTCAGGTGCGCCCTGGGCCCTGGGCGGCTGCCAATTCACCGTGATGTGCGCCTGGGGGGCCCTGGGAGGGCCCTGGGAGGGCCCTGGGGGTGGTTCAGGTGCGCCCTGTGCCTTGGGCTGCTGCCAATTCACAATGATGTGCGCTTGGGGGGCCCTGAGAGGGCCCTGAGAGGGCCCTGGAGAGGGGTTCAGGTGCGCCCTGGGCCGGGCGGCTGCCAATTCACCGTGATCGTGCGCCTGCGGGGGCCTTATTGGGCGGGCCCTGGGAGGGCCTTGGGGGTGGTTCAGGTGCGCCCTGGGCTCTGGGCGGCTGCCAATTCACCGTGATGTGCGCTTGGGGTGCCCTGGGAGGACCCTGGGAGGGCTCTGGGAGGGGTTCAGGTGCGCCCTAGGCCCTGGGCGGCTGCCAACTCACTGTGATGTGCGCCTGGGGTGCCCTGGGAGGGCCCTGGGAGGGCCTTGGGAGGGGTTCAGGTGCGCCCTGGGCTCTGGGCGGCTGCCAATTCACCGTGATGTGCGCCTGGAAGGCCCTGGCAGGGCCTTGGGGGGGGTTCAGGTGCGCCCTGGGCCCTGGGCGGCTGCCAATTTCACCGTAGAGGTTGCGCCTGGGGGCCCTGGGAGGGCCTGGGGGGGGGTTCAGGTGCGCCCTGGGGCCCTGAGCGGCTGCCCAATTCCTGGATGTGCGCCTGGGGGGGCCCTGGGAGGGCCCTGGGGGAAGGCCCTGGTGAGGTTCAGGTGCGCCCTGGGCCTGGGCGGCATGCCATTCACGTGATGTGTCGCCTGGGGACCCCTGGGAAGGTCCTGGAAGTTGGAATAAGGGGGGGGTTCAGGTACGCCCTGGGCCTGGGGCCGCTGCCAATTCACCGGGGGATTGTGCGCTTGGGGTGCCCTGGGAGGACCCTGGGAGGGCTCTGGGAGGGGTTCAGGTGCGCCCTAGGCCCTGGGCGGCTGCCAATTCACCGTGATGTGCGCCTGGGGTGCTCTGGGAGGGCCCTGGGAGGGCCTTGGGAGGGGTTCAGGTGCGCCCTGGGCTCTGGGCGGCTGCCAATTCACCGTGATGTGCGCCTGGGGGCCCCTGGGAAGGCCCTGGGAGTTCCCTGGGGGGGGCTTCAGGTGCGCCCTGGGCCCTGGGCGGCTGCCAATTCACCGTGATGTGCGCCTGGGGTGCCCTGGGAGGGCCCTGGGAGGGCCCTGGGGGTGGTTCAGGTGCGCCCTGGGCCCTGGGCGGCTGCCAATTCACCGTGATGTGCGCTTGGGGGGCCCTGAGAGGGCCCTGGAGGGCCCTGGGGTGGGTTGAGGTGCGCCCTGGGCCCTGGGCGGCTGCCAATTCACAATGATGTGCGCCTGGGGTGCCCTGGGAGGGCCCTGGGAGGGCCCTGGTGAGTGTTCAGGTGCGCCCTGGGCCTTGGGCGGCTGCCAATTCACCGTGATGTGTGCCTGGGGGGCCCTGGGAGGAGCCTAGGAAGGCCCTGGGAGGGGTTCCGGTGCGCCCTGGGCCCTGGGCGGCTGCCATTTCACCGTGATGTGCGCTTGGGGTGCCCTGGGAGGGCCCTGGGAGGGCCCTGGGGGAGGTTCAAGTGCGCCCTGGGCCCTGGGCGGCTGCCAATTCACCGTGATGTGCGCTTGGGGGGCCCTGAGAGGGCTCGGGAGGGCCCTGGGGGGAGGTTCAGGTGCGCCCTGGGCTCTGGGCGGCTGCCAATTCACCGTGATGTGCGCCTGGGGGGCCCTGGGAGGGCCCTGGGAAGGCCTTGGAGGGGGTTCAGGTGCGCCCTGGGCCCTGGGCGGCTGCCAATTCACCGTGATGTGCGCCTGGGGGGCCCTGGGAGGGCCCTGGGAGGGCTTTGGGAGGGGTTCAGGTGCGCCCTGGGCCCTGGGCGGTTGCCAATTCACCGTGATGTGCGCCTGGGGGTGCCCTGTGAGGGCTCTGTGAAGGCCTTGGGGAGGGTTCAGGTGCGCCCTGGGCCCTGGGCGGCTGCCAATTCACCGTGATGTGCGCCTGGGTTGCCCTGCGAAAACCTTGCGAGGGCCTGAATCGCCAGGAAACGTCTTTGAGAAACCAGCTGATGGTCCACTTTGGAAAACTTTAGGATTCGAGGTAGAA